CATGGTATGTACTCACTCATAAGTGGATTCTAGATACAAAATAAAGAACAATCAGACCACAACCCATAGAACCATGGAGGCTATATATATAGCATGGAGGTCCCTAGGACGACTGTGGCTTATAATAAATTTCGGTTTTACTCAAAAAAAGAAAAAAAAAAAAAAAAAAAGGAAGGGCTCTGACAGGAGGCCCAAACCCCTATACCAAGAGATTCTTCTGACACTGAAATTCCAGGAATGTTTATATTTTAAAAATTCTCACAAGTAGTCAGGGAAACATAGTCTATGTATAAACATGAAAACCTTAGGACTTACATGTTCACTAATGGACATCGGTTAAACATGGGTGGTTGGTTGGTTACTGCTCTAGTTAGCGGCCTGAACCTGGGAAAGTGGAGCCTAAAAATGAGGTGAACTAAGGTCTCATGCAATAGCCAGCTTTATTCAGAGCATCAGACAATTTATACTTGAGGGTTAAGAAGAGTCACCCGAGTCTCAGTCACAAGACAAGCTGCATGAGGCAAAAACATGTTTTTCCATAGAGGCCCATAAACAAATAATAGCCAGTGTAATAATCTGAAGTAAACTCACTCCTATCCACCACAAATGGGAGGGACAGGAAAGCACGTTCCCAGAACAACCCATGTAATGGAGGAACAGAGATCACAAGACTCTTGACTCGTTTACTTCGAGTTTTTCCACAAGGTCTCAGAATTCTCCTCACACAGCTTTGTTCATGGACCCTGTCCTGAGAATGGGAACCCTCAGACAGCGGAATCTGAGTACAGAATAGATCCAGCAGGAATATATGCTGACAGTTTTCTGTAACAAGAGAAAAAGAAAATAAACTCCCATAGTTGCATACAATCTACATTAATGTCATGCATTTGTACTGGGAACCGATGGGAGGAGAGATGAAAAAACGGCACCTGTGGTTTTATGTTGAAGGTGGGGGTGGGGTTGGCACCATGCTAGCTCAGAAAGGGAGTCTCTTTTGTCTTTTCTCAATTTTCACAGACAAGATTATTTTACTTTTGAGACAGGGTTTTTCTGTGTAGCCCTGGCTGTCCTGGAATTTGCTCTGCAGACCAGGCTGGCCTCGAACTTGGATATCTACCTGCTTCTGCCTCCTGAGTGCTGGGATTAAATGCACGTGCCATCATGCCTGGTTTGTTTTTTCGTTTGTTTGTTTAATTTTTGTTGGGGTGGAGAATAGTTTGGGTGACTATAACTATTTTTTAAAGTTTATTAAGATTTATGTCTGAGTGTTTTGCCTGTATGTATATGTGAACTAAATGTGTACCTGGTGCCATGGAATTCGGAAGAAGGTATTGGGTCTTCTGGAACTGGAAATAAGGATGGTCGTGAATATCATATCGGTGTTGGGAACTGAACCCTGGTCAACAATGCTCTTAACTGCTGAGACATTTCTCCAGCCCCTAACTACATTTTTTTTTTTTCTAATTTTTCAACTTTTATCTATGAGAGAGAATGCTTGGAGCTGATGTTGAGAGAAACCTGATGTAGGTGCTGAGAACCCAGGACCTCTGGAAGAACAGCTAGTGCCCTTAACCACTGAGCCATCTCTCCAGCTTCTGTTTTCTAAAATTTTCCTGAATTCATTTATTATTCATGCTGGTTTTTTCAGTAAACACTTTTTAAATTATGGTAAAATATAAATAATGCAAAATTAGCCATTTTCATCAGTGTTAAACATGCATTTTAGTGGCATTAAACACATTCAAAACCTCTGTGGGAGGTTGGACCTTGGAAGCTGGAGAGGCAGATCAGTTAGGATAGCACCTGCGACAAAAGCGTCAGGCCCTGAGTTCGTATCCCCAGAATCCCCACCAGCTGCTCACAGCATCCAGCTTCAGAGGATCCACTACCTCTGCAGGTACCTACACTCACACACATACTACTCTTATGCACACACACACACACACACACACACACACACACTTAAAAATAAATCCTTTTTTTCTGTTTTTTCTGGTTTTTTTTTTTTTTTGTTTTGTTTTGTTTTGTTTTGTTTTTAGATAGGGTTTTTCTTTGTAGCTCTGGTTGTCCTATAACTCTGTAGACCAGGCTGGCCTTGAACTCAGAGATCCTTCTACTTCTGCCTCCCAAGTGCTGGGATTAAAGGTGTGCACCACCACTGCCTGGCAAAATAAATAAATAAATAAATAAATAAATAAATAAATAAATAAATAAATAAATAAATAAATAAATAAATCTTTTTTAAAAATATAATTTATTTAGGCCGGGCAGTGGTGGTGCACGCCTTTAATCCCAGCACTTGGGAGGCAGAGCCAGGTGGATCTCTGTAAGTTCGAGGCCAGCCTGTTCTAGGAAAGGCGCAAAGCTACACAGAGAA